CGTACCAGATAACAAGTCTGCACATCCATACCACCGGCCGCACTAATGCTGAAAGTGATCAAGAATCCACAACCAGGATGCAAAGCCTCTTTCACAAAACATCGATCCCAGGTGACGCTGAAGACAATGCCAACTTACTCTGAACATTCAAATCCCTTTCATGCTCATCCGAGCTCGTGACGTCCTTGTCAACACCAAATCGCAACCTCGTTCCTCACCTTCAAATTCCACACCACTCACGGCACCTAACATGCCAACATGCGATAGTTCAAGAATTTCATCACCACTCCTGAACCACTAACATGGTAAATACTTCCTCACATGGAAACTTTTTACTTAACTTATTCCAAGAGAACCATAGCAAAACACGAGTGAATTCTCGCAACCGCAGAAGATGCAATTCTTCAAGTAGTGGCCTAAGCCACCATAGCTCTTTCCGGGATCCGCCTACACGTAGCAGGCCATAATACTAGAATACTTTCGAATAAAGTCAATTACGGCGGCCGACAAGCCTCACACGTACCATCACAAATCGCTTGCATAACTTAATCACGCTGAAGGAATTGATCACTGCCACCAGTATGCCAATTCAACCATGGCTAACCAATCTAACCTCTTCCAATTTATCCTTAATTGCCTTAGAATAATAATATCTTCATTCAACACATAACGCACTCAACCCGAGTGGCCTTGTAACACGAGACCATGCTGTCTCAAATCCCACGAACCATCTCATACCTTCCTTGCGCGTATATTCGCATCTCGACTGGTACATCCATTCTGATAATTCCTCTACGAATCCGAAGTCTTTTTCTCCTTTTCCTCCCAATGCTACACTGCAAGTCAAAACATCATAGAACATTCTGGGCCTCTTATCATAAGCTGCTTCACAAGCTCGATTCTTAAACATACTGCAGACTTGAATCCTTAGGCACCGCATTTTTAACCTTTGAATTCACTAGGACCGTTATTGAGAGTCACCCACTCTGACATGGTCCTGAATATAATCAACTGCAAGGCTCCGCTAGCACATGACCACCCTCTCAAAGAAGCACCCGGCAGAATCACCTTCCTTGCAACTCACTTCTACGCGGAGCATAATTCCTGAGTCTTCCCAAAGCTTGAACATGAGCCAATCAGGCCAACTATAGCACACTTTTACCAATTCTTTTGCTCAAATTACCACTTATGTTCTTTTCCCTTAGCCGAAACAACTTACCAATACACCGATAACCCGAAACCTCACAAGAAGATAATCATACAACCCAATCGTAGGCGGTGTGACTCTCCCACTTAGCTTGAAGCCACTATTGCACAACTTTGGAACCTACTAAGATTCTTTATCTCTAATTGACATGACCTTGCGCAATTAAACCGCCAGATTCCTCGAAATCCTTCCTTTAGCATTCATGAACACTCTGAACCTCTAGCAACCCTCACATCTTAAACCTCTTACCGGATAGTGAATAGAATCCTTCGCCGAAGCTTTGCCAACCATGCGACCGCTGATCTGCCCATAGGAGACATCCCCAAATGTGGGGACTACGCACCGACATCTTCCAATGTCGCTGCACGGGGTACATTTACTACGACATCAATAACCCGTCCTGAGCCCGTGCTCATCCACACTACTAAAAAGTGTCCAATTTCCGACTGAAATTTTCGACGGAAAAAGTAGTCGGAAATTTCCGACGGAATCGGTCGGAAAATACATAAAAATTTATTTTTCAATTTTTAATAATAGTTACGACTAATATTCCGTCTATATCCGTCGTAAATTTTGGTGAAAAATTTCGCGCCACTGTTAGCGACCAATTCGGTCAGAAATAATTCTTTTTTTTTAAAAAAATAAAAAAAATAGCGACCGATTCGGTCGGAAATTTTTAGTAAAACGAGGTTGACTGCTTTGACCAAATTACCGACCGAATCAGTTGGAAATGTTTTTAAAAACCCTACCAGCGAACATCTTTCTTTTCGTTTCCCTCTTTTCTTCCTTCTCTCTTCTCTCTCTCTCACTCAAACTTCCCCCACCCAAACCCACCGCTGCCACCAACCAGCGGCACCGCCGGCGCCACTGAAGCTCCGTCGAGACTCCGTCTCCACTGCCACCAACCCGCCGAAGCTCCGTCTCCACTGCCAGGTAAGTTCTCTTTGGCTATTTAAATTTTTTATTAAATCACATCAGATTTGTGTGTGTCTAATTTTTTTTCCCGTCTAATTAGTACTAATAAGAAAATTAAGAGTTCATTTTTCACGTTTTACTTGTATTTTTCTTTCTAGTCTTCTTCTTTTTTTTTGGTCGTATTTTGGTTAAATAGCTTACAATTCCAGATTAAATTTCAAGTATAACCTTATGGTTCAGAGCTTGCCTGCCCTGGTATTGTATACCACGTGGAACTTCAGCTATATATCTCTTTGCTAATTTTTAAACACAGACAAAATCTATTCGTTCACTCTTCCCAACTATGGAATAACCTTAATTCAACTCTCTCTATTTCAATTTATATATGTTATACTATTTAATTTTCATTCTATTTCAAAAGGAGTGAGGTATTTTGTTGATCCGTTTGTGAAAGTTAAGAGTTTTATTTATTCTGTTTTGAATGCTCGAGTTGATTTTCTGTTGCTCCGTATTAGTGAAATGTTAGCATCTTGTCTACTCATTTTTGCGATTATTTAAGTTACTATCGTATTGATAAGAAAGTTCATGTTGATAGGTGATGAGAGAGGTGAATAGCATTCTGTTTATCAAAAAGTTCTTTTATTTTTTCCTTTTCCTGGTTTCAATCTTTGATTAAACTGACATGATGTCAAATTTTTATTTAAAGACAAAGCAAATACCAACTATGGAATCTTTAATATCTCAAGTTTCAAAAAAAAAAAATTTATCTTCTTTAAACTATATGTTTAATCAAATATATTTAGGTAAATGAAAAATAAGGATTATTGTTTATTCGTGTAAATTCATGATTAAGGAATNGCTTCATGAATGGTTGAACTCTGAGAATGGTTACGGTTTATTGCGTGTTTCATTTATCGTTGGCAGTATATGAAAGTGTTGGAATAAGACCTTAGTTGATAAGAGGTTTTCTACCGGTATTCGGGTGTTGTGGGCAACTGCTGTGAATAGAAGTTATCGTTTTGAGTGTTTGGGTTATGTAGTATATCATATGATTGCACCTGAGGTTGCAGGTATGGGTTATTACAGCTGGTTCGGGCTTATTCTGAGTATAGATGTGAGGTTCTGATCTTGTGTATGATTTCAGAAAGTGCAATGTGGTTCTATGGTTTATGGACTAGATGGATTGTGAAATTTGAGCTATGTTGTGTTATCGAACCTATGCGAGATAGGGTGACGTGGGATCACCCCCGGGTATATGCTTGGTAAGATCATTCAGCTATTGGTTGGCTTCTAGGACAACTCTGGGTACGCTCGAGGACGAGCGTTTGTTTAAGTTGGGGAGGATGTAATGACCCGACCCGTCGTCTCATGAGAACCGCTCCATTTCCCCCATTTCCTACTTCGTTATGCTTCATTATCAGTGTCTTGTGTGATCGAGTTGAATTGGGTTGACTTTTGGAAGGAAATGAGACACTTAGTCTCTTTAAGGAAGGCTTGTTTTAGAAAAGTCAACCGGATGTTGACCTATTAGTTAGAGGGCTCGGATGTGGATTCCGACGATTCGGTTAGATTCAGGGGATGATTTGTGACTTAGGAGTGTGATCGGAAGTGATTTTGGAGGTCCGGTGTAGAATTAGGCTTGAATTGGCGAAGTTAGTATTTTGGCAAATTCCGGTTGATAGGTGAGATTTTGATCCGAGGGTCGGAATGAAATCCCAAGAGTTGCTGTAGCTTCTTTAGGTGATTTGGGATGTGTGTGCAAAATTTCAGGTTATTCGGAGGTGATTTGGTTGGGTTTTTGATCAAATGCGTGTTTCGGAAGTTTTAGAAGAACTTAGGCTTGAATCCAATGTAAATTTGGTGTTTTGATGTTAGTTTTGGTGTTTTGAGAGTGCAACTAAGTTTGAATGATCATATGTGACGTGTTAGTATGTTCGTATGCGGTCCCGAGGAGCTCGGGTGAGTTTCAGATAGGTTTGGGCTGCGTTGTGCTCGTTTTTCTTATGCTTCGACGTCGTTTCTTCAAGCATAAATGATATCATATTGAACAAATGAGCTCCGATTACTGTTTTGAATAAAGCATTAGATCCGTATCATAATTACGGACTCGTAGCAAAAGGAATCGTCGAATTTGGACATCGTATGAGGATTTTATGTCCATTTTACCAAGGTTGCCCAGATTTTCAGGTTAATGACGAANTAAATTCATGATTAAGGAATATATACGAATATAAACGTATATATCATCATGTGAGTAGGTAAAATAATAAACATTCTGTGAATATCATACATTTATTGGTTTGCAATATGAAACTTGACCGTTGTTAGATATTCTCTCCTCTCAATTAGATCCCAATATATTCGAGATATACTCACTACGCTAAACTTTTGTCATATTTTAACTTTTCAATGGTAATTTAATCACAATCACTAGGAGGAAATAAAAGAAATATTTTTGTGATACTTAAGTAATATTAATTAGTTGACTTTTTTGTTATAAAAATGGTATTAATTAGTTGAAGTTTTTGTTATAAAAATAGTATTAATTAGTTGACTGTTTTATTATAAAAATAGTGACTTTCCTTAATACTTAATAAAACTAAGTGACATTTTCGTTACAGAAAATAATATAGTACACCTATATTACAATTCTAGATTGAATTTCAAGATTGTTAGCTACGACTATTTCTTTTGTTGAGAAATCATTAATTAATTTGGATTACATGAACATTTAAGAAGCTATTCAAATTTAATTAGTATATTTAAAAACTTATATTATTTAGAATAGGGATTAATGTGAGATTTCGAGTGTTAAATAACTAGTTTAAATAAATTAAATTATTTTAAATATCTCATTTATAGATTTCTATTTGTGTAGATGGAATTTGTGCATCGTAGATGGATGTATAATAGGAATCATCCTAATCGTGCGGGGTTGAGGGATGAATTTATTGAAGGGGTTGCTGAATTTATTGCTAAGGCTCAAACACTTGATGATTTTCTTATTGGAGGAAGGATTAGGTGTCCTTGTGTGAAATGTAAATGTGTTAAGTTATTGAAATCAGACGCAGTTAAAGTCCATCTCTACAAGAAAGGGTTTGTAGAAAATTATTGTATATGGACCGCTCACGGGGAGAATCATGCTAGTTTAGATGATGCTAACTTTCATAATTCTTTTGGTGGTGAGGGTAGCCCCATTGCAGAGCATAATGTTGAAAATTCTCGATACAATAAAATGATGAGGGATGCTTTTGGGACGTTTCCTGGGGTTCAATCCGAACCAAATGATGAGACTAAGCGTTTCTATGAACAATTACTAGAAGCTAGTCGTCCATTGTATGAAGGCTCGGTGCATTCCAAGTTGTCTGTTGCGGTTAGATTGCTAAGTATTAAATCGGATAGTTCTATTTCCCAAGCGGGCATGGATTCTATTATTGGGATTATGAATGAACTTAATCCGATTAACATTGACTTACCAAAAGATTTCTACACTGCTAAAAAATTGGTTTCTAAGTTGGGTCTTTCATCAAAGAGAATTGATTGTTGTGAGAAATGTTGCATGTTATTCTATAAGGATGACGCATCTCTAGAGAACTGTAAATTTTGTAATCAGCCTCGTTTTAAGGAAGTCACAAATGCCAATACAAAAAAGAAAGTTCCAGTTAAAATGATGCATTACTCACCTCTTATACCTACGTTAATCAGGTTGTATACATCAATGAGCTCTGCTCCTCATATGAGATGGCACTACGAACATAGAAGGCCACCTGGTATACTCTGTCATCCGTCAGATGGAGAAGCGTGGAAGCATTTTGATAGGGTGTTCCCCGAGTTTGCTAGTGAACCAAGAAACATTAGGTTGGGATTATGCACAGATGGATTTACTCCATTGGGCTGCGTTGTGCTCGTTTTTCTTATGCTTCGACGTCGTTTCTTCAAGCATAAATGATATCATATTGAACAAATGAGCTCCGATTACTGTTTTGAATAAAGCATTAGATCCATATCGTAATTACAGACGCGTAGCAAAAAGAATCGTCGAATTTGGACATCGTATGAGGATTTTATGGCCATTTTACCAAGGTTGCCCAGATTTTCAGATTAGTGACGAAATTGCCCCTGACGGCGTATTAAAAACCTGCACTATTTGCAAATCTTAAAACCTACATATCCCCTTCATTATAAGGTCAAATTGAGTGATTCAAAAGTCTAAATTCATTAGAATTTCACAAGGAATCCATTGGGAGCAGTAAAACGCGTGATCAGCATATCTATAATGAGCAAGTCGAGTTTTCTTCCAATTTTTGAACGGGAAGAAGCTTCTGAGGCGATTTTTAAGAGAGAAAATCAGTGGGTATCACAGAGGTAAGTGATTTGATTATTAAAACTCGTTTATGGGTGATTATAGACCATAATCCCAGCCTTTAATTCATGAAAAACAGTAGAAAAATAGGATTTTGGGGCCTGAGAGTATGAGACCTTTAGGGGTCGATTTGAGGGGTCAAACGGACTCTGATATTGGTGTTCTTTATATGTACGGAATCGGGAGAAGATGAAGAACACTTTTCTGTAAAAATTTCTGTGTTTCGAGAAGTGTGCCCGGGGCTCGGGTTTTGTCAATTTCGGGATTATTGTTGTTTTTCGATTATTTTCGATTGGGTATTGATGCTATAGCATAATGTGACGTATTCGTTGTGGTTTTGGTCAGATTTGACGTGCGAGGAGGTCGATTTTAGAGGCAAGGGCATAGCGAGCTAGGATTTTGGCCGGCTTGAGGTTAGTAATAGATGTAAATGCTTTGTTGAGGGTTTGAAACCCCGAATTTGTACATTGTAGTGCTATATTGAGGTGACTTGCACGCCGGATAACGGGCGTCGGGTAGAGCACCGTCGGGGATCGTGACTTGGTCCGTCCCGCTTAATAAAATTACTACCTAATTGATTGAAGCTTAGTGAGATCCTTATAAAAATGGATTAATTGTCATAATTTGGCCTCGTGCCAACTTATTGAATCCTTCAGGGATTTTTTACTGGTTTCTTACCATATTTTCAGACAATTGAACTCAGTCCTAGTATTTAGTACTGTTTTGCAAACTCAGCCACTTTTTCTCAAAACTTGGAACTTAAATAATATTTCTAATAAAGTTTGGGCTGAATATTTCTATATTATTGTGCCCGAGGGGCTTATATGATTCTGGACTGAGTATGGGATCGGGCTGCGCGCCGCAGCAATATTATATTGATATTGATATGAGGCTTAGGGCCTAATGGATGCCAGGAGATGGCTTGATATTACGCTTGGGCCGTAAGGGGCCCCTCCCGGAGTCTGTACACCCCCAGTGAACGCCGTCGACAATAAATAAATGGAGCGCGCTGCACGCCGCAGCGGGTACTAGAGAGTACCGTACTATTTGTTGCATGTCTTAATTGATTGTCATTCATTTACTTATCTGTTGCAGCATCATTGTTTTCATTGGTTTATTGAGTTGACATTATCTAGATTAAACTGCTGTAATTATAGCTTACATTGTGCCTATCCAGGATTTCTTACTCTCAACCTTATTTATGTTAATTACTCTCTGGTTTGGAAGTACTCACATTACTCCCTGCACCTTGTGTGCAGATCTATGTGCACCCACTGAGGCTGAGTGAGGATTTCTCTGCCGAGCATCATATCTAGGAGCATCGAGGTAGCTGCATGACGTCCGCAGTCCTGATCTTCCCATCTAACCTATTTGCTTTATTTCCGCATTTCTTTAGAGCAATATGTAGTAGGTTGACACCCGTGTATTAGAGGCTCAGACTTGTGACACCGGATTCTTTGGGCTGTGTAGTAGTATTTCTACTTGGGTTTTCCGCATGTTTTAATTATATTTCAGAGTTTCAGTATTATGACTTAGTAATTATTTGTGTTAGTTGAATCATGAACTGTATAAAAAGGGTTAAGGTTGTTGAATTGGTCGGGCTTGCCTAGCAGTGTGTTGGGCGCCATCACGACCGAGGTTGGAGTCGTGACAAGTTGGTATCAGAGCCTAGGTTACTTGGTCTCGCGAGTCATGAGCCGGTTTAGTAGAGTCTCGTGGATTGGTACGGAGACGTCTGTACTTATCCTCGAGAGGCTGCAGAACCTTTAGGAAAAACTTCATATTCTTGAATTCTTATCGTGCGTCCTTGATTCAGCTTGAAAAGAAACTCTTGAAATTCCTTCCACGTGTTCGTACACACGCATGAGCGCTCAGTATCAAATGTGCCTTGATGGCTTGTGATTCCCCGATCGAGGGGCGAGATGTAATCTCTGTGAGTTTATGTTGGGCCAGTCTGGAGGACTTGAGGCCGGATCTTTTCCTATGGCTTGAGCAACGAGGTGCTGACTGTGTGAGCAAGTGTTTCGAACTTATATGTTCGGCGCTACGTGGTGAGTATGTTAGTGCTGCAAGGTGCATCTATGTGACTTGGAGGTGATAAGGAAGGCCTACTGGATGATAGAAGAACTATTAGGTGTTTGAATTCCATTGTGATTCGAGGTATAGCCTGAGTTATGGGCGCGTGAAGAATCTTTTCATGTTTCTAGTTGAGAGTGAAGTAAAAATTTTATGTTGCGGTATGAGTTCAGACTCAGGAAAACTAAGCGACTGCGTACAGTTTAGGACGGTGGAAGGTATACAGAAATGGTAGTTGGAGGCAAAGCAGG